AAGGAAGAGAGAGAGAAAGAAAGAAAGAAAGAAAGAAAGAAAGAAAGAAAGAAAGAAAGAAAGAAAGAAAGAAAGAAAGAAAAGGAAAGAAGGAAAACAGATGGATCAAGGCTGGGCATAGTCGGCACTTTTATCTAATGTTGTTGGAAGTATAAACTAACATGACTTGTTAGGGAGGAAAAGACCCTTCACATCTTTCGTATATTTAATTGCACAGCCGAGTACCCAAGGAAGGCTCAGGTTGGGAAGACTCCCCTGGTTACCCCAACTGGAGTCAGAACTGGAGGAAGAGGATATGGCTGGCTCATTGACCATGGGGGAGCTGACTGGGAATCATGGCCAGAGCTTCTCTGCAGTTGACAAGTGGGGCTGAGCAGAAAGATGCTCACATCTTCTCAGCATGTGGAGCACTGGGTCTTCTTCAAGCCATTAGCTGTCACGCCAGAGGAGCAGGAAGAAAGGGAGAGAAACTCCACCTGCAGCCATGCTGTGCACAGCAGCACCCACAGCATCTATGGGCAGCGCAAAATTGTGTCAGTTGGCAAAGGGGATCCCTTTATGTGATATAGCTACAGGGTCACCAAACAGGACAAAGAACAGTGGATTTGTAGCTGAGAGGCAATGTATTGATGGATACTGGCAAGGTATACTGACCTTGTTTTTAATAACCAAAATATATGTGATATGAACACACACACACACACACACACACTTGCTGTGATCATTAATTGTGATATGTCAATTTAACTTGAGTAAGAACAGCCTAACAGAGCAGTAAGTGCTGGGTGTGTCTGTGGATGATTGACATGTAGCCCAGCAAATTGGGGGTGGGAAGATCCACTCTGGGCACCAGTGGCACCAACCAATAGGCTTGTTATTTGGTTGGAGTAAAAAGGGAAAGAAGGAAATGCTTCCCTTTTCTGGAGGAGCTCAAGTCTTTGCCGTTGCTCGTGGACATCGGTCGCCAGTCCCTTCAGCCTTGTGGTGCAGACTTGCACTTGTGATTGCACTGAGCTCCCAGGCCTTGAGTTGTGACTGCTACCAAGTCCTCCAGCTCTGCAGCATGCAGACGGCTTGTTGGATTCTTGCAGACAGCTACAGCCTCTTCTGTATCTGATCTTGCAACCTTACCTAATAAATCCCTTTGTACAATTATATATATATACATATATATTTTATATTGATTCTGTTTCTCTGGAGAAACCTAGGACAGATTTTGACACTGAAGGAATCCAACCTCCCCCTCTAGCCTGACCAGAGGCCACTTTAAGCCTCTTCCACCCCACTGTGCTTTCGCATCTGCTAAGATGTATAATCACGAGTTAATAAGGCTCTGTAACCATGGCTACGCCCATAACTCCGTCACATCCTTCAGCCCTCTTCCTGGCAGAGAACCACCACACCCTGCATTTCTCAAGCCTTATCTCTAGCCGAGAGCCACAACCCCTTCTCTCGGGCTTTTCCCGGCACAGCCCTCCTCCCCCTTTTTGTGCTCAGGATCCTGTAAAAGACCTCACAGCCTGTACAGCAGCCCCTAGCCAGGTCTCAGTGCCAGAGCATTCCCTCTCAGGTTTGTTCTGAAATAAGCTTGTCCTGTTGAGCTCATACCTCTGTTGCTTTCCTTTTTCCTAACAAACCAGGAGTGGGGTCATTGTCTTGATTGTACCTGACCATGTGGGTCAGGAGTCTCTGGACCTGGCTTGTGGGAGGAGTTTGGAGAGGTTTGGAGATGTCGGCTAGAGAAGCCCTGGAACGCTACAGGACAAGGCTCATGAGAGCTCGGAAGACCAGAGTGCTGATAGAAATGCAGATGGTAAAGGTCAGGCTCAGGAGGTTTCAGTAGGGAGCAAGGACTCCACTGGCAGCTGGACTGGAGCCCATGTGTGTCGCACTCTGGCAGAAATTTTTCCGATGTCCTGAGATGTGAGGGTGCTGAGATTAAGAGTGGCAGATCAATTAATCTGGCAGAGGAAATTTCGAGGCAGTGTAACGTTCAGGCTGTGGCATGGGTACTGTTGGGTGCTTTTAGCCATGTCTATCTGTGTCTATCATGAGAATCAGGAGCAAGAAGCCCATTTGAAAAGTCTGGAGTTTCCCCACAAGGAAAGTGCCTTCAAAACTGGGGCAAAGGGGAACACAGGTGCTGAAAAGATTGGCATTAAAAGGACACCGAGTACTTTACCTGGGGTCATAGGAAAGACACCGACACCTTAAGGGAACTCAAGAAGCAGCAAGACCCTAAAGCTTTCATTTGAGCAGAGAGCCCCAAGGCCCCCTTTGGGAGAAGGGCTGCCTAGGACATTGGCTTCCTTGGCTTCTTTCAGGGCTCAGCTCGCAGACACTCAGAATCCTTTGCAGTTCTGAGACCTGGCCACTGCTTGGACTGGCAGAGTCTTTGGGGCAGAACATTATGGTTTAGATCTAAACGTCTCCCAAAACTTTCCGGTCCTGGGAGGTGGGACTTTTGGAAATTGGTTGGATCCCAGAGGCTGCACGTATCAGTGGCTTCATCCACGCATGAGTTCAGCCTGAGTGCATTGCTGGGACAGTGTCTAGTTAGAGGGACCATGGGGCCTGGCCTGGAATGGGGCAGCTCCCTCCCAGCTCTGCCCTGCACTCTCTGCTTCTTGGCTGCTGTGGGCCAAGAGCAGCTGTCCTCCAGCAGGCCCTTCCAGCATGCCCTTCCTGCCTCGGAGCTGGCCGACCAGGGACTGCAGCCATGGGCCCAAATAAACCTCTTTCTTTCAGTTCTTGTGTTGGATATTTTGTTCCAGTGATGAGAAAACGACTAGAACACCCCTGCCCACATATATTCCATGTACCATTTATTTGGATTTTAGGAGTCAAGGTCGCACTGTGCAGCCCAGGTTGGCCTCTAACTCCACCCCCTGACTCAGCCTCCTGAGGGCTGGGATTACAGGCGTGAACCACCAAGCCTACACTGCACATCTGTTTCAACAAAGTTTATTCACACTTATTATGTTTAATCCTTTATGCTGAGGGAGGGACTGTTTTAGGGATTTTGTATACACTAACAGATTTGATTCTCCTAATTACTCTCAAATCAGTATTATCTCTATGAACAGGAAAACAAAATCGGTGAGGTGCTAAGTAGCAATCACACAGCTAGTAAGTGGCAGAGCAAGAATTAAGACCTGGGAGCCATAGAAAAAAGCCTGAGAGAATCAAAATGTTAGCAGTTGTCACCCCAGGGAAGCACTGGGGAGACCCAGGGAGAGGCTTCACTTTTTAAAACCGTAACCTCAACAAACAAACTCAGTTCTAAACCGCTGCTCATTTTATTTTATTTTAATATTTGCAGGTAGGCTTTGGGAGGTACTTTTCAGAGAATAAACTGAAATAATTAACAAATGCCAGCACAGTGCCAGGCAGAAGGAAAGGCTGCTGGCTAAGTGACGGATGCGCGTGTGGAGGCTGAGGCAAGGGGCGTCAGAGGGTGGGGCAGGGCTGGAGGAGCGTGAGTCACCAGCCCTGAGCTGCTGGTTTCCAGTCCTTTCTGCGCCTGGGCTGAGCTTCTCGCCTGCCTGCCCCGTCCCAGCAGCTTCAGAAGGTGGCTGGGGGCAGGCGTTTCTGGAGCTCCTGCTCCCTGTAAGGTGAGGGACGTCAGCATGAGAGCCCCCCCCCCCCCGCCGCCCTCTGCCCAGAGCAACCCTGTCAGATGGAGGCTCTGGAGGCAAAGCCGGTACTCAGTCCCGTTTCCACCCCGCTGCTTGGGGCAGGCGGAGCCGGTGGCTGCTGACAGCCTCGGTCTCTTCTCCAGACAGGTGAGGGAGGCCCCAGGGTGCAGACTAGGGCTTCCACTCCCACTCAACGCCCTTCCCTGCCCCCCGGAGCGGCTGCGAGCCTGCACGGAAACCTTGGGAAGGCAAGGCGAGCCTGGGAGGACAGAAGTGTAGACACCGCGGCCAGGAGTGTCCAGGTGAGGCAGGAGATCCGAGCGGGGCAAATCTGGTAAGCGCCTGCCAGCCATGGAGACCCAAGACGCACGCGCAGAACACGCACTCCAGGGTGACTCTGCAGTTCCTAGACTCGGGCCAATCAGAAAAGTGCCCCTTTTGGTTCTTTGTGTGTGTACATTTTAGGTATACAATACAATGACATTCATCATTGGGAATCTGTACCTTTACAAGAAATGTCTCGTGCTGGGAGCGATGTGCTGTAGATCACTACGGACTGGCCTCCTCCCTCGGAGGGCATGGGGGGAAGAGGGCGTGGCCACAGAAGCCAGAGAAACATCAAGCACTGTCTCCTGCAGGCCAGAGCCACTCTCCCTGCTCCAATCAGGCCTCCTCTTCCGGTTTCCTTATCTACACTATAAATAAAGGTGCTGAGGACAAGGGCCAAGCTTTTTGTCTCATCAGGACCAGGCGTTTCCACCTGGGCTCAGCTTTGTAAATTTAACTGTGAATTTGTCTTCTTTGTCTTATTCTTTAAGTTTCTTAATCTCTCACCATCATTTCTCACTTAGTGAACCCTTTAGCCACCTGGGCAGTGGCAATATTGGTTCTTATTTTTCCCTCTTCCCCTACCCTCCCTTCACTCCCTCCACCCCTCCCTATTTACAAAGACTTTTCCATTTTTTCCTTTTCTCATACTTATTCCTTTCCCCACCCCTCCCACTTCCCCTACTCCTTTAGACCTTTTCTTCCTATTTCACATTATCTATTATACATTTTGATCCTTATTTACACTTTCAGTTTCTCATACCAAAGAAATTATTTGGTATTTATACACGCGTGTCCTATTTATTTCACTTAAGAGTATCGCCTC